TAACATATGATCCAGACTCGACTTTTGGGGGTTCAGACATAGCAACGAGGGACTATTTGGGATTGGTGACCAAGACTTGGTGTTAACGACATTCCCATCTTCCTCCCTCCTTTCGTCTGATCCTTATCTCTTTGTCTGTGTATGTCTGGACCTGGCGCCTTCATCCTGTGTATAGCGCCAGGCTCCTGCACACTTGGTGAGGGATACGATGCATGTGTAGTCTGAGTTCAAACATGGGTTGGGCTAGACGATAGTATTCTAGCCCTCTGCTTCGCTACTTGATTCCTATGTGAATGAGGTCCGTCCAAGTCAGGTCAGTCTTTGTATCAAGTCTTCCCTGCGCTCTTCAACATCTTTATGTATGAATGAGAAATGTACATTGCTGGTCGAGATTCTCGTAACTGCATTGTCTATTCAGTCCTTTTCATCACATTGCAGATTCTCGGTTTATTGTATACATTGCATGTGTGTGCATGTAACAATTTTTTTGTCCTTGCACGCAAGAATTCATTTATGTCGAAAATAGCCTGAATCATTGTCCTATCATCCCGCATTTTCTTGTGTTGTTCATCCTTCCCCGTTGCTGGGGTGTTTCGTTTTGCGGGCCGACTGTATGGTTCCCTTTTTTTTACTATGGATATGGTAGATTTGTTGTGGTGTGGTAACCTTGTCTGCATCTCGGTTTGTTTTGTCTCGTTGTGCGGTCTATTTTACAAGCGTAGCGGTGCTTCATGTGGGACCAGTCATCCGTTTTTTTTTATTGTCTTGGCATCCTGGTTGGTTGTTTCACGTTGTTCGGCCTGCATGGGGGCGTTGCTTTTATGTGGGAATCGTCATCCGGGATTGCCTTTTATACCGGTCCTCCGGGTTCTTTTTGGTATCCTAGTTGGTTGCTTCTTGTTGTTCGGCCTATCAATGGGGGCGGTGCTTTTATGTGGGAATCATCCTCTTATGATGTCCGGTACGAATTGCTTACGATGGCGCCGAATAGGAATACCAACTTCTTGATGTCGGACAAGGCCATCTACTGTGTATAGATATGTATCTAGGACTTTTTTTGATTTCTTTGCAGACAAGTGTGAGGATTGAGCCCTCAAGTAGGGGCCTTGCCATGATGTACATGTTTCGGGCTAAGGCCCCAGCAAGCCTAGTGCCCGCCCTAAGTGAAGGCGAGCCAGCAAATCAACAAGAGCCCTCTATGCCAACATTTCACGAAGTGGGGTCTATACAGTTGCAGCACGCCAGTTGGTTGGAGTGCACCGAGTCTCGGATTTCAGCAAATGCTGAAATGCCCAGGGCCTCTGAGTTAGTTAGGCCCTGGGCACTCGAAAGTGAGGCCGACAATGCATGCTGGGTAGAGAGGCCGAAATGCCAAAGGGAAAATCGGCCCACTATTTGAATCTGGCCGCAGGCCTTTATGAGAGAGGCGCAACTGCATTGCTCCGGGGCCCAACTGTATCGGGTAGGCTTCAGCCTCTGGGTCCCGGTCGCAGGCTGAAGGGAGGCCGCCCACACGCTGCATTGGCATCTAGGCAAGCAGAGCGAGGCACCAGGGATCTTGGCCAATGCTGGCACTTGGGGGCATGCTGCGCGGATGCATGTGTGCTGCGCTGTGCAAGGCAGTGCTGCGCTAAGAGCAGGCAGGCCAGCGCTAGGCAGTAGGGCGCTGCCTGCATACAGGGCGCTTGGCGGCCATAGCCGGGCTGCAGAGGGCGCAGAGAGGTGAAGGGCGAAGGTGGTCTTCGGAGGTGAAGGGCGCTGTNACAGGGCGCTTGGCGGCCATAGCCGGGCTGCAGAGGGCGCAGAGAGGTGAAGGGCGAAGGTGGTCTTCGGAGGTGAAGGGCGCTGTGTGGGTAACAAGGGAGAGTGTGGGGAAGAGGACACGTACTTGATGATGGTGGAGATACGGCATTGGTGTTCACATCATCACTCGCTGGTAGTCAAGTTGTTTGGTTGCTGTTCATTGCTGTAGTTGTAGGATAGAATGTAGAGTAGATAGGGCGCCTGGCGCCATTCACAAGAGAGAGTTACATTTGGGTTATGCTGTTGGTGTTGCCCTGATGGGTATGGACATTGACTCACGATTCTTCTGTATCATTCTCAATTGGCTGGTTACTCGGTTCCATGTGCTGTCTGCTTTGGCTTTGAATACTTGGACTTCAGTATGATTTTGCATTCTGGATTTCTGTGCTTCGTCCATACTTATGTTCCTTGCAATTTGGTATCGGAGCTGGTTTGATCGCCTCTTACCTTCGGCATGCTGGCGTCATACAGACTTGGTGCATTGATGATGCTTCTTCGCAGTTGGTACTTGCGACGTCAGGCCATTGATAGGTGCACGCCCTGGGTAGAGAGGGGTGCACCGGAAGGCTATTTCGGCATTTTATGCCGTGGGATACAGCGGAATGTTTGATTGATGATGAGAGCATGCTGATGTGGCATTGGACTAAGGTGGCACTGCATTGCGTTGTGGGTAGTACCGAGGTCATGACCGGTCATCAAATGCAACATCAACTCAATTGGTGAGAAATCTGTGGTTGGGGGCAGCTATCTCCAGGTATGTTGATCCCTTACCTTATCTACTCTCTCAATCTCTTCTTACCGTGAGGAAGTGAGTCCAACTTGAGAGTCCTCTCTTTTGGTGAGGTGTCGTGAGCGCGCTACCTTGAGAGACGACAATCCTCACGGAAGCATCAGGAAGGAGTAAGGGCGGTGCCATGAAGGGCCCTGGTCGAAGCACTTGGGTCACGGTCACCATGCCAACCCACAGGGAGTAGTGCACACATGCGATGGCTGCTGTCCTGTTTTTGGCACTTGCTGCGCTCAGATAGAAGTCTTGCCAAGTATGCCAGCCTTGTATGAGACGCTTACCAGACCGTCTATAAACATTTCTGGTTGGGTACATGGAATGATCTTGGCTGTGATTGTCGTCCTGACTGCGACGTTAAAGAATTCCTGAAGAGATGGGGGCGCTCTATAAATTCCTCCTGATCAGCCAGATCATCCGTGTGTAAGGCTCGTTTTCGTACGAGGGTAAATAAGAGTGGGCTGGCTGGCTTACTTGGCTCTGACTTGGGCACAAGGGTGGGCCGATACACACACGAACACACTGCTTTGCTCAAGATGCTGTCTAGATGGTTGGATGGAGGGGAGGGTAGGTTCTAATTGATGCTCAATTGTATACACAACCATACCCATCAATCATACATCTGCTACATTGTCTTTTGTACCTTTGATTAGTTGGTGGACAGACTGCTAACACCTCACAGACAGATTAGTGTAGGACTGTTGTATGCTACCATAGCCAGTYCTAACTAATGCTGCTGTAAGTGAACAAGTCAAAGTGCATTTAGACTATGTAGACAATCTGTGTGAATGTTGTAGACATGCCACTTGATCTGTACAGTAGGGGACTTGCCGGACATAACCATTTCTAGAAAACTAGGTGCCGGTCACACACATGCTGCGGTAGGCTTCCATTAGGGGATTCTAGTGCAGATAAAGTCTGCCTAACTCATGAGCGGATCAGACGTCGATGAGGAGAGAGTTGACGATGGTAGATTAACACATGCAAGATCAAGTTGGATCCCGTACGTGTTCAGGACCCTAGATGAGGGAGAAGAAAGACGGTTTCGTGCCGAACGCAGAGCCCGTGCTTTCGCAGCATCGAGAGAAGCGGCAACCCTTGCAGCTAGGGAACAGGCTGCAGCAGCAACCAGGGCAGCAGCCATGACTTCTTCAGGAGCATCCTCCGTTGCAACTGCTGCTGCGTTCTCGTCTGGACCCCAGTTTGGAATGCCAACAGGGTCCACGGGCACTTCCAGTTCAACAGGTTCTAGACAGTCTACAAGTCAAATGGCGGGCTCGCAGTTCAGCCCGTTGACTCCTCGCGAAAGGGAGATGAGGGAGCTCCAACAGGTCGAAAGGATCCGTGCACAATTAGAGAAGGAACTGAAAGAAGCTACCGATAGAGAAAAAAAGATAAAGAATAGAACAGCCAGGCTTGAAACGTTAGCGGCTGACAAGGCTGAGTTAGAGGGCAAGGACGACTCTGGAATGAATGAGCCCATGAAAGTGTTGAGGAACAACATGCTGTCACTGCACGCGCATGTGGACAGCAGGTTGGACTTCCTGCAGAGGAGTTTGGACCAGATCCTGGACATTTTGACAAGACCAGGATTTAGGCCACCAGCCCAATCGCCGCTGCCGTTAACGGCGATGTCAGGCCCTTTTTCGGTTCAAGCTGGCACACAGCCAAGTGGTACGTCTGCAGAAGTCTCACAGACTGTTGCGTCTTTTTCTTCGGGTCCAGCGGTGGTTGCTACACCACAGCAACAATCTGTTCCTCCACACGGACAACAGCAAGGTCAATGGTACCCCAAGACCCCAATGAAACCGCCTCTTGCCTTCTCAGGCGAGAGGAAGGACGAGGAACTCAACACATGGTTGAGGACGGTCCCGGTTTGGGTGAAGGCCAAAAGGAGCTAGCCAGAGGATGAAGTGGTAACTGCGGCATCTTACCTAGAGGGTAAGGTAGCCAAATGGTTAGATGGGGTAGTTGTGAAAGCCGGGTACGAGCGACGCATGGCGGACTGGGCCAAGTCCTTGACTCTAGACCAGTTCATGGAGATGGTAGAAGCTCGATGGCATAACCCACAGGAGGCGCAAAGGGCCACTGATGCCATAAATAAACTAGACCAGCGCAAGTTCAGGTCAGTGAGAGAGCTCACGACTACCGTAGAGAATCTGATCCTCGTCCCGGGCATCAACTACAGTGTCCAGTTCCTGTTAACTACTTTCATTAGATGTCTTTCAGAGAATATCAGGAACTTACTAGCCAGTGAGGCACGCACCAAGTACCCCTCATTTGAGACATTGTCTAGGAAGGCTTTAGATTTGGAGGCCACGTTAGGCAATGCTCAACCCACCTTAGGAAATGACTCAAAGAAGAAGAAGAGTCCTCAGGAGTGGAAGAAGAAGGGGGAAAAGTTGATGATGGTTGAGTCTGATGGGACTCAAACTGAGATTGACGAACTCTCTGACCTGATGGACTATTCAGAGCAAGACGGCGAGGAGGTAGCTAAGGGTAGCACCCTTGCCGCAGTGGTAAAGACTAAGGCAAGTGGCCGAGGGAAGGGCCAACCTAGGGGTCAAGGAAAGGCCGCCTCCAATCAGGCCAAACAGGCTGACTGGGTTAAGGCAGGTCTTCATCAAGACGTGTGGCGTGACCGCCGAATGCGAGGCGCTTGTATCAACTGCGAGGAATACGGACACACGCAGTACAAGTGCCAGAACGCTAAGGTTACGCAAAAGGTTGCTCCAAAGGTAGGTGCAACTTATTCCCAGGCTTCGAGCTTGGGAAACATGTGAGGCCAGTGGAAGTATTAGTTGCTTCTACTCAAGATGAAGTAGGAATGATACCCTCCCTACGTGAGGCCCAGGTTAATGACCACTTAGTCGCCCCGCAGACACAACTAGACCAAACTATGCTTTGTACGTTAGATGTGTCTGAAGCCTTAGAGGACTTGGAGAGAAAGTGGTCAAACAAGGACCCTCGCGAGTCTTGGGTGGCGCTGAGGAAAGGTCCTAGAGGGAACATTTCGTGGTGGAGGACGATGTAGGAGGCCGCAAATGTGGTGCCTTTATAGACATAGGCTCCACGTGGAATTACATAAGTCGCGACTGTTTGGAAAGGCTGCACCTACAAAACCGGGTACGGCACCTTAGTAGACCTGTAGCATTTACTTTGGCCAACAAGGAGCGCATGATTGTAACAGACTACATCAAGGACGTTGTCTGTACCTTCTCCTATGGAGGAGGTGAGCTAAACCATAAGATCTCGTTCTTGGTTAGCGACGACTTGCCATTCGATATGTTGTTAGGCATATACTACCTCGAAGTTGCGGAGCCCCAGTTCGACTGGGATAAGAAGGTGCTCAAATACAAGTTGCCCGATGGC